TTAAAAAGTAATATAACTCTCTTCAAGCGTAAATATCCATTTCTTGTTGCAGAGGGGAAAAAAATCAAAAGAAATACCGCACATGCAAGTCGATGTTTTTCTTCCAAGGATGTAATACCTACATGGTTGCAAAAAAAATATTAAAGCCCTTTTCGTAGAGCAAGAGTAATAACGAAGTGACATTTTATATTAGGATTTCAAAGCCACGATTCCGTTCACTGACAAAAGCCGGAGTGACAGCGGGTTAGCGGGTTCGACAGGGAACAATACACGCACAGCGTCCGGATTTCCGGGGGAGATAACTCCGGTGGCACACTTGCCACCGCTCAGTGGATAACGCGCTGAATCACCGCTCCTTGACCGCAAGCGTATTTGCGTCTTGTCCAAAAATACGAACCCCCACGCTATTCCTTCCGGATTCATTTACTTGCCTTGTATTTGAGCACGAGATTTGCTACCCTATTCACAAATATTTTCTCAACGCGTTTAGAGGCTGGGACCCGCACGCCCACAACGGGGCGATCGCTGGCCGCCGGGGGTGCGTCACGGCCGCGGGTCTCCGATGCCACGAGCACTGGCGCGTGCAAACTCTGTGCACAGCCGTCGTATTTATATTTGGCGCTTTGGCCTCCGTCCAGAGCGAGTAAATCGAAATGGCTCGGATGTGTAACAGGCCCTCGAATGTCATCTACTTCGCAAGGGCAATGCCAGGCTGAGAGGATAGCGAACTCCCGTACGCATCCCACGGAAGCTCTGTCTCCCATCTTACCAACTCTTTCTTTCGTAATCGCGATATAATTTTACAGTTAGTGTATAGAGTAGTGATTACATTGCATAAAAATTCTTTAAAAATATAAATTTATGAAATGACAGTGATTTTGTAACTACATCTAGCGCTATATGAAACTCCTAGCAATGGAATTCAGCGTGAGAGTAGTAGTTTGATTATTGAACACTAGAGACCCTGCATTCGACGGAGCTCAATGCCCCGTTCTCTCGTGTTTCGCTCGCGCATGGAGCATAGTAGAGGTGTGTTCCGCACCCCAAAGGTACCCAGTCGCCCTCAGGGCCCATGTCTCCCCACTCCTTATCTCCACGCTATTCACCTACCCCGACGCATCACAATAATCTGCCCAATTCGGGCTCCACCCCGCCCTATCCTGGAGAGAAGGAATGCGACATCGAGGTCGATGTTTTTAAAACATCGATATTTTTGTAGAAACGTGATTCCTGTGATCACAAAACTGTGAAAGTTAAAATATCAAATAATAAATTATGGTAATACTGTTACCATCATTTGTCTGTCATGTGTTAGAACCAAAGGGACGCTGTTCGTACTACCTTCATCGGCCAAACTCTCTCACCAGAGATGACCTTCATGCCATTCTATTCCCTCATTCTTCATATTCATTCAGCATATTGAGATGTCGGTAACAAATACGCTGTGTGGTCGCTCTTCTTATAGTACCCATATTGGTCGAATTTATAAAGATTCTCAAAGACACTCAAATTAAATTTTAATGCTCACGAATTTCATATTAGAGGTTCCGAAAGCAGACTAAAACATCGATGATTTTTAGTCGGTGTATTTTGGACATCGATGTTTTAATTTTGAACATCGATGTTTAGTAATACCGATGTCGCATCTCCACTGGAGAGTCGCTTCGCGTTGTATTGCGTGGCGTCGTCTCGCCGAGTGTGAGAAGGGGGAGGGGGAGGGCCCGCTCCGCTTCCTCAATCAGCGCTTCTCGCGGCGTCCGCCGGAAGGAAGCGCCCGCGCCCGCGCCCTCTCCTCCAGGCGCAGCCCAGCGCCTCGCGAGACTCACTTGTTGCGGCCTGTGGGCTCTTATTTCAACAGGTTCGAACGACCCCTTCGTAAAATATTTCAATGTTTACCTCTTCCAACAACGACAATTAAGCCTCGATTGATCGATTTGTTGCTTGGCGATTCCCGGCTGCTTAAGTAATTAGTCCCATGGTTTGAGGTCGCCAACTACTAATGTCCTTGGCCCCGTACATGCAGAGCATGTTTCATTGGCGGGGGTGGCAGAGATCTTTTGTCGCTGGATGGCGAGTTCCGATGTCAACCTTCCCGTCTGCTTGCGAGGTTTTCCCCAACCACGTATCTCCCATCAGTAGGGCACGGCCCCAGTGAGCAGAAGCTCTAAGCTCCCGACCGGTCTCCCGGCGAGTGCGGTAGTGCAATGCATGTTGCTGTGTGTGTAAGAAAGGGGGTCAAAATAGGATAATGAAGAGAAAGGAAAGATCGCGCGCGGGCTGTGGCCTGTTTTTTAGGGTACTACTCTAGCATTCATCTTGTGTGGTCGGAAAAAGCACGGAAAACTGCCGATCAGAGCAGCCGGCTGCAAGAATTCTTCTCAGGACCGAGGCTGAACGCGACCTACCAATGTAGGTCGAGTACATCAGTTGATGCCTTGAGTTGTGCTGAGTGTTTGTTCAACATTTACAGTGTTAACTTATTTTTCGTTTCCTTCAAATCACTGAACACATCTGCAAATCAAGTGGTTATATTAACTCACACATACTGAACATCCGTTCGAGAGTTTGGGGCTTATCTAAGATATTCAATGTAGCAAGAACAAAGGAGGTCTCCCAGAATCGCTTCGGAATTTCCAGCCCTAATTTCGTTACCATTAGTCTTCGATAACTCCTACGATGTTTGCGTCAACACAACAGTCAGCGCGCCAAGAGAACAAAACAACCATTGAGGATTTCTGTCATTACCGACTCGACCTTACTGTGCACATGCACGCATGAATGAGACTTGGAAACATTGATTCTTCATGCGAATTTCTTATGCCACAAAGTTATTCATATTTTTGCGAAGCATCTACTTCTGATATTCACTGACTAGCATAATGTAAAGAATGTTTCTGTGCCTAAGTGATGAAAACCAGCAATCTCTCCACTCACGATTAGTCTTCCATTTTGCACCGATTGATGACGCTTTACCATCCTACATACGAAAGACTCGTTAGAAATGCTGACGCTGTACAACCTTTCACATACCAGTTTGTTGGAGCACTGCACTTGCAGGAATTTCGCGTTGCAGCAAAGTCGTTTCTACACGATGTGTATACACGCATACACTGTCACTTTATATAATATTAGTTCTACCAGCCGTTGGCTTTCGAATTAAAGGAATCATTCATTCAGGAACTGCAGACTTAATAACATAACTGGTTCTGATATGAAGCTCGATTGCTGCAACTCATGTATTTCAAGAGATTCACAATAAAAAGAGCATACCAGTTTTCAGTCACACAACTCGAACAAGAAATTCTGTCACGTGCCTTGAATCCGTTACCACAAAAGTTTATTAACTGAATGTACAAAGAGACCAAAGCGATCATTCAAAATGTTATGGATCGCTAGTTTCACGGATCTATTTCGCAATTAAGTATTCCGTATTCTCATTCACTCGCTCTTCCACAACCACTAACGAGCGACGAATGCCCACATTATCATAATGCTACATTTTATTTATCTTGCCATGAATTTTCGTTGATAGCTATGGCCACCTTGTCAACATAGAAATTCAGAATTCATTTAAAATAAATCATTTACATTTGACGTAAGCTTACTTAACTACGCTGTAATTAAATACTTTATTGCAACATCTTGAAAGTATTATCACTATTTTGAAAACGCAACTAACCAACACGCATTTAAACTAGAATAAAATTCAGCAGAGTAGTGGACATAATGATGTCCATGCACTGTTTTAATGATGACGAACCGAACAGGCAGTCGACGCGTGAGCACACTGACGCCGCCTGCATTTCGAAAACTCCGTTCGCAGCACCTGCGAGACAAGGCGTCGGGAGCGCTGCTATCGGGAACTTGAAAGAGGCTTCGACGGGCGCGGAAGTGACGCAGACCTGCGGGGCGCAGAGGCCGTGATTCAGCGCTTGGGAAAGGGCCGGCCAGCCGGCCCGTCGGTCGGCTGGCCACCCGGACGAAGCCAGGTGAAGTCACCTCCACCCGCTCTTCAGATCCGGGCGACTCCGCATCTTGCCGTGGAATAGAAAGCGTTCGCCCGACTGCGCGGCGGAGGAAGCGAGGATCAGACACGCCATGGGTTTTTCTTCCGCACTCGTCTCATATTGAATAGATCCACAGATTTTAATGCGCGAAAAACAAAACGGTCGATTTTCAGCGGGAAGTGCTGGAGTAAAAAAGTTACTCATAGCCAGCAAGATAGTCACAAATAAGGGTAACTAATTTACATTTCTTTGGCCATTCTAGCATTATAGCAGACGTGTTTTTCGTTTTCTATGTGTACGACGATCTCTTTTAGAGTGACCACACATGACTATTCAGTTTAATGAATCCTTTAATGAATAAAATGAAATAAAATCTTGTTTCAAGAAAAAATTAACGCATTAATTTTTAATGTGTAGGTATTCCTGTATATCGAATACAATTTTGAAATATTTGTAATGAGTGAAGGTCTATCAGAAAGAGAGCAATAAAAACGCGTTCGTGGAATGCACTTCTAAACGAGAAATATTTTGACATCTTGGCTGTCCGGGTGATGCAGCGTCGTTGGCCGAGAGGTCGACGTTTCGCCTGACGTATCGCAGGCTTCTTCAGGGTAGTGACTGCTAGGGAGGAAGCCTGCGATATGCCAGGCGAAATGTCAGCCTCTCAGCCAAGGCACGGCGTCACTTGGACAGCCAAGAAGTCATGAACTCGAGCCGCGGAACCCTACGTGTACACGAGAAATATCTTCTTCTCACCTGTAAATTTCAAGTTCAATTTTGTTGTGTAACAATAAAAAGGTTTTGGTTATAAGAATGTTGACTTTTAAACTCAATACCAACGTAAACAAAAAAACAAAAATTTCACAGTTAAAATACAGAATATTAAAACTTTAAGCGTTTATAACTGCACCCCTTATTGATTTTTTCGGAAATTTCATTTAACAGTCTTTCTATCTTGAAGGTTCACAATTCATTTTTATGAAAAAAAAATACTTGAGTGTTGAAAGATATAATAACTTTCTTTGTCGGCATAACCTACAAGACCAAAACTACGCTTTTCTTTCTCTTCCCCAACTATCATTTCTAAACGAGAAACATACAAACTGAATCTCGACTCATTAATTCGTAAGTTACTTGAATCATTAATACACGTCGCTATATCGAGGTTGCTTTCTATTAATCCCCTCCTTTAATTTCCTCTCTTTTTTTGTGAATGACCCCTTTTTCTTCTCTGATCCATATCCAATGTTACACAAACAAGAAGAGTGGTTTTCAAAATAATGTTTAAATATCAGAGTAAAATCCTCTATTCATACTGAACTTGTCATAACATGATACTCTAAATTACGCAGGTGCATTGCATCAGTGAATGGAGATTCAGGGATGGGAATCGAGAAAACATTACGAAGCAACCACTGATGTCAACGCCAGCTTACGATAAAAGAGAAGATTCTCACTTGACCCCTTTTGATATGTGTTTCTTCTGTATATAATTCATCTTCCTAAAATAAATATGTTTTTCGGTTTCGGCGTCCCGAACTTTTCTGTTAGAAAGTCCCCAACTTTTGCATCACTGACGCTGGCGTGATAAATAAGGTGAAGCTATTCACCAATTTTCTTAGAAGAACAATCTAAAATAAAAATAACAGTAATTAATGATTAGGGCAAACTCATCGACTAGTTTCAGCGAGAGGCAAATTTTTGATTAAATGGCCTAGTTTAAAAATGGAGCCTTCTTCTATTCTGCAGATTCTGACTTTCTGTCGACGTGTGAACCGGGTTTTTGTGTTGGCATAGACATTTCACGAAAAACAACGAAAAACTCATCACAGTGGAGAGGTTGGAAGATAGTTTCAACTCGGAAGCGGGTAGCAGGCGGAGGGAAGTAGTTAATGAACAGCAAGATGTGGGATGCAGTGAACTGCGAGATCCTTCAGCGCACAGTACCATTTTCGGATGTCCGGTTTTCGGACATCGCTCCCCGTAGCAAGCAATTTCCTCTTGGTTTCCTCGTATAAAATTGGTTCGTTTGAAAACTTCCATCGTGGAGAACGAGAAATACACATCACCCGATGTGTACGAAGATCATTAACTTTCTACGATACAATTTAGACTTACATTTTTACAAGACTCGGTTAAATAAAATGTTACAATAGAAACAGACAAAACTATCAATAAATAAATACTGGACTTGACAAGACTCGACTATTCTTTTCTATTCTCATCTAATATTTCAATTATATTAAAATATAATACACATTTCTATTCTAATTGCAAATAAATGCTTCCAAACAACGTTTCGTTTCTAATACAAATATGGAGAAAAAGTGGAAACTTGTACCACAGAAAATGAACACTGATTGAATAATACTTGATCATAATCGACACAAAAATAAAAGGATTCTACAGAAATACTTACACCTGTTGTTTGGATCACTTTCACGATGTATCTTCTTCCTGAAAATAAATAAAATTTTGAATCAATATGCGAAGCTTTCCTAGTGTTATTTTTGTACACTATCAAAAACAGTCCTGCATTAAATGCAATATTGAAATCACGGGCTATAAAATAACACAAATGATGTTCACAAATATTTGCCCCAGAAGATAATTTCACACACACATACGCCTCATTTCCTAAGGAAAATAAAAGTTACTTAATTAAAAATTGTTTGTTTATAATATATTAATACAATTTATTTTAAATTTAAATGCGTGGTAAGTTTTTGAGTAATTTAAATATTAAGGCATTCTTTAAAGTTAATAATATAGGCTAATAGTATTGCTAGAGACTGAAGTAAATAACACTTTTTTTTATTTTTGAAAAGTTAGCTTTGTGAATAGTTAGATATTTCAGTTTCCGCTCTTTTGTGTACTTCAAAAATTGAAAGCAATGTATTAAACTTTGTTGAATAAAGAGATTGGAAGACTGTATTGAATTTTGAATATATTTCCGAAATTTGTAATGACAATTTTTTTATTTGAGTTCATGTTTGGGCACAACTCTTACTGCATTTATTTCTGTTCTGTACTGTTCATAAATGTGTCCTGTCTGCAAGCCAAGAGTTCCTGAGACTTTCTCGCTCAGAAACGTTAGCAGCACATTAATTTTATTGCTCTGTAACGAGTAACCTCGAAATAAAACGCTGAACAGTGCTGCCAAGGAAAGGCGAGGAATAATGACGATGTGCCCGTGCATTTAAAGAGTTGACAACATCGGGCGAGCAGCGACTAGGTGGGGAAGAATACCGTAAGCAACGCCTTTATATTCGCATACACACGTCATCACCGCTTACTAACAGACTCACAAAGAGACGAAAACTCACTGCAGAATTCACTCCATTACATTCATCAAAATTCATCAATTTAAAATCCTGGGGCATTTAGAGACATGATGATATAATAAAAACCTTCAAAGAACTAAATAATGTATTTTTTATTACCATACAGTGCTAGAAAATTCGATGTACGTTAAGAACACGTTTAGAGCTGCAATCATTACGAACATTTTTGCAGCAAAAAGGGAACGTGAGAACTTAATCAAGTCAATCGTACATATATTACGGAGAGAGCGCTTACGAAAGAGAGGGCGAGATGGCGAAGGCGAGATGGCGGGGTGAGATGGCGAGGGCGAGAGCGAGGTGGCGTGGGTGAAATGGTGAGAGCGAGTTGGCGAGGGCGAGAACGAGATGCGAGAGCGAGATGGCGAGGGCGAGGGCGAGATGGCGAGGGCGAGAACGAGATGGCGAGAACGAGATGGCGAGAACGAGATGGTGAGAACGAGATGGCGAGAGCGAGATGGCGAGAGCGAGATGGCGAGAGCGAGATGGCGAGAGCGAGATGGCGAGGGAGAGGTGGGGAGGACTAGATGACGAGGGCGATGGCAGAGGTGAGGTCTGCTCTGAGATGGAGCCCCTGTGCAGAGCATCGAGCGAGGACCGGCCGATCGAGTCACGGCGGGACGGGCCGGTTGGCAGCTTCCGTCCGGCGCGCAACGTTACGCCCTTGATCTTGCGTCATACTACGTAGTTAGCATGCATTTACACGCCAGGCCAACACTCGTGGCGCAACAAGTGCCGCAACGGGTTCGAAAGAACCAATAAAACTAATAGTTTCAATTCATCCCGTTTTCATAACACGCATACACAGAAAGTAAACGCTAAACGATATCCACCTTTTCCCTACCTTCAGGACTACATTTTTAGTAATTTTCGTATAATGTTTGCGATCTAAATTATTATATTAAATTTAAATTTTGAATGAAATATGTTTTGTGTTTAGGCGGTTTTTTTAAAGAAAATTAAATTGTGTTAAAACGTTTTAATTAAAGAAATTGAATTTTCGCATAATGAGCACACCTTCCGCACAATGAGCACAAAATTATCCTAGACAGAGGGAATGATTAGATCAGTTCTGCCCAGCTGGAGTCAGTGGAGCGCGAGCGGCTGAGTTGGCTCCGAGCGGAGACGAGTTATCGTGGGGAAAGGGTCGCTTATGGTGAGGAGGGAAGGTTTAAATAGAGTGAGAACTCGAAGGCACGAAGGCACTTTGTTTCGGGAAGTTCCCAGAGATGGGGAAGCGGCAAATTGGACGCAACAAACCCTTTACTTTCATTTCCTTAATTATAGAAAATTTTTAATATTAATTTATGTGTAAACAAACATACAAATTTCATTAGTACTTCAAGCATGGTTCATTTAAAAAAAAATAAAATAAAATAAATAAATAAAAAATATTCTAGCCGGATACCAGAGTAAAAAATTAAACAAAGTACATTTGAACAATTAGCTATATTCTAGCCGGATACCAGAGCAAAAATAGCAAACAAAGTACATTTGTAACAAATAAATTTTTAATTTATTGCTATCACACTCGTCTATGAAAAACGAGGTTTGTACATTATATTTTGAACGTATTTATAGTTCGTACTTTTTAAAATAAAAACATTTCATATTTTTAACGAATTATATTACTAATTAAAATAAAAATATATTTCTCAAAAACAAAAAATTTCGAAATTTCTTGAATCAAAATCATTTACATACATTTCACTAAAAAATTAAGTTTATCGGTCAAATATGCAACTTGACACTGCTTTGTGATCTGATTTTTTGTATGTCCGCAACAAAAAGATGCGAATGATTCTTTTCTTAAAATCACTAAACCTACTGTATGGTTTTTAATCCTATTCCCGCCGTTTGTGTTTACGCACACTGCTCTATATGAAGGCCGGAAAGCGACAGGCAATTCGCGTTGCCTCTTCAGTCATGTGTTTCGGAACCGATGGCTGTTAGGCGTTAAACCGCCCCGCACTCCCCTCCCGAAGCCATTTGCCCCGCCGCAGACCAACGCCCATCTCCTCGACACCTGTTGCTGGCAAATTTCCGTGCTCGTGCGCCTGATTCAGTTCGGGCGGGATCGCGGAACCCGAGTTGAGCAGACCTCGAATACATAGTAAAACTACACTTCTTCGTAATCATAAGTGGCGAAATAATACATAAAAAGTATTTCAGGGTGTCGGTTTCATTCAATCACCGAACCGACTACTGTTCTTTTCCACCAATATATTTGTGTTTAAAACAATGACAGCTATAAACAACACACTTGAATACTCGGTAATGAAGGGAATCCTAATGAAGGAAAGTGCAGCAAAGACTCGCGCCCGCGACAAACCGTTTGCATTGAATTCCAGATACGGGATAACGGCGCCTCGTTAGCGAACGCACTTCCGGGTGGGGGCGGGCGGGCGCTTCCGGTCGCCCACGCGCGGAGCGTGGCGTGGGGGGCGGGGGCGGAAGCGCAGATAAGGCGCCGCGACACCTCAGCGCTAGACCTCCTTCGCTCGAGGTCTCCGCCGTGTGTGAAGCAACGGGCTGGATAATGTGGGAAGAAGCGAAAGCTTTGGCATCGCGTGGGCCGGCCACACGATCGCACTGCACTGGGAAAGCAAACGGACGTCTACGACACACAGACACACTCTTCACTTCGGATTAGTTATATAGAGCGACAGCAGACTTTTGTTTGTTGCAAATGTACCACATAAGATAGCAAAACAAGGCCCATAGGCATTTTCAACTACGATTCTGGAATCCGTGTTTTATAAATAAATTAGTATATTTATTAATGAACGGATGTACATTGTTCAGTATTATATATCACTTCATCATATGTATTTCCCCGACTCAATATTTAACTTAAATGCTAATCTTACAATTATATGTAACTGCACATGAATAGGAAACTCACAGAGTATCTTTGGGATTAATTCAGGTGTGCAAATATGCTGAGGAATGACTCTAATTGGTACAGGAAAAAAAGAGCAGAACAAGTTTCCTTGTTACAGTATCATGGTTCTGGTATACTACAACTGTTCTTTTTTTCGTATATCTATTTCATATTCCAATTAGAAGCTGGTAGGTGGTAGGAAATTCTTAACGTTATTACGTTTATTTTGGGGAAGAAATTGTTGGACTGGAGCACAATGTGGTGAACTACAGGGGGGTAAATCCAATTCTTTGTGCAGCTGAAAGTTTAAGTTGACCCAGGGTGCACGAGTGGCAAGTCGGAGGAGATGGTGTTGGATGATGTTTAATTTACTGATGTTAGTTTTAGAGGATTTGAACCAGATAGGCCATGCATGCATAATCTGCATTCCAGACCATTAATTGCCATTCCGGAGCCGTATCGTCCAAACCCTCAAATCGGGCTGAGCGCAGAGTGGCTCGCCGCGTGTGTGCCGCGTGAGAACGACAGGAGCCGCGAGCAGAGGTCGGGGCGCGGCGTGGAACAGTTAGGCTAAGCGCTTAGGCAAAAAAGGCGCTTGGGCTGCGCGGCGTAGAGCGCTTGGGCGCGCGGCGGCCCGTTAGGCGCCAGGCCTTCGGCCTGCCTGGGCCGCGCTCGCCCTCGCCCCTCTCGGCGACAAGCTCTCGTCGCGCTCAAGGGGGCGAATGGTCACGGAGGGGATCGTCCAAGAATCGTCCCCCCCCCCACTCTGTATGTAAATTCAGTGGTTAGGCGGAAGAGCAGGCCCTATGGCCTGAGCCTCGCCATTAATGAAGACATTATTATTATTATTATTATTATTATTATTATTATTATTATTATTATTATTATTATTATTACTCTGAGAACTCTAGTGTCCCTTGCTGCAAAAGTAATGATCTCCCTTAGGGCGCCTTCCCACGCCGCCACGGCAGTGCGCGTACGTCAATCAGCAGGGCTCTTCGCCGACCCTCCGGCGACGACGGACAAAGGGACCGAAGCGGATATAAACAGCAGCTCTGCGCTGCGACCGTGGCGCAGAGGGAATGCTACCGTTTAAAGCTGTATTCTGCAGGCGGTGGCGGCCACACCCTCCTCCGCTTCGCGCAGCAGCGGACGCCCGCTGCACGTAACAAGGGGCCCTTACCAGGGACTCAATTCACATTAGGTGCCTCATTAATGATTTCCACATTTTG